GTCTGCATCCCCACCAGCAGTGTAGGAGAGTTCCTTCAAAAGAACATTTTTAGAGGCAAGAACAAATGACTGACAGTGTTAGCAAGATTTTCACCATCCTCTTCTCTTACTTCCTGTTGATATTGTTTTCCAGGTGTTTTGAAGAGAACTGTGACTCTGAGCTTTTGTTTTCCTTTTGATTGATTTCCTCTTTCCTATCAGGGAAAACTTCCTCATTTGCCTGATTGAATGAATACTCAATACTTGAATGAGGGCGGTTGAGCACTGGGTTGTGAAGCTGCCCGCAGCCACTGCAGCACTGGTTCGATCCCCAGCTGCTCCCCGGCCACAGGAGGAGGGTCCCGCATGGCGCGCAGACCTCTCCTGCCGCCCGCTGCTCCCCTCAGCAGTGTACTTCGGTCCTTCTGCCTGCTCTGCTCCCCGCTCTGGCTCTGGTGAATTCTCTCACCCTCCCGCGCTTCTGACTGTACCCAGTGCTTGTATAAATAAATAAATCTTTAAAAAAAAATACTTGAATGAATACTCAATTAGTGAAAACTGAGACCTGGTCCAGAATTGTTAGTGAAGAGAATAAACGCCTGGGTGAGAATTAGTAGAGGAACGATAGAAAAGCCACCCAGGGGCTCTTTCAGGGACAAAATTTGGAGTCAAGGTGGAGAGGTAGGGTGGATGCTTTGGAAGGGGTGTAATTCAGAGGAGATGCTAAGGCAATGAATAGCCCCTTGCCTTTTGTTGTTTTATTTAATTTTTTTTTGGTGCTCTGCTTGAGTACTTTTCTGTGTTTATGCCCTGTGGGTTCATCCTTCAAACAAGTGGTAGAAAGATCTCTCCTAAAGATAAGAATTCTACACCATCTTTCTCCTGTTTCAAATGCTGGCCCAATGGGTATATTTTATTCATGGCTCCACCTTAGCCTATTAATCTGTAACAAAGCATTATTAGCATAGGAATGGCAAGACCGTGATGAGGGGTGGGATATCAACCTGAAGGCAATGACTAGTCTCTGAAGTGGCAATAGTTACACTAATTTGTCAGCATTCACAGCTTGATCTTATGTCTGATGGAAAATGTCAGGAGTCATGGTTACAAAAAAAAAAAGTATTTTCGTTGGAATTCCAACTTGTCTGTTGAAAAATTGCATTATTGGACTAAATAAGATTTTGAACTAAATGCAATTGTGGGGCCTCCCTGGTGGCGCGAGGGGTTACTACGATGCAGCACTAGGAAGCTAGCCACAGCCACTGCAGCACAAGTTTGATTCCCCAGCCAGGGAGCTGACCTACATGGCATAGCAGACCTCTCCTATCTTGCCCGCTGCTCCCCTCAGCAGTGTATTTCAGTCAATCTGCCTGTTCTGTTCCCCACTCTGTCTCTGGTGAATCTTCTCCCCTCTCCAACACCTCTGGCCTGTACCCCAGTTCTTGCATGCATAAATAAATAAATCTTTTTTAAAAATAAATTCAACTGTGTATATGTGAAATTTTAAAAATTTGAAACCTGATTCAACCACAATATTTTAATGATGACATCGTTAAAATGACAATTGGTAATAAGGTGATTTGAATATCAAAATACATAGAAGTTGAGGAAAGAAAAGGAGAACAAGATAAAGAAGGACAAGCTAAGAGAAGGAAGAAGAGAAAATGTTAGGTAAATAGGGTGGGAATTAGAGATTTGGGGGAAAGCAAATTATTTTCTGAATCTGGTTACATGAGTACAATGAAATCATATGCTTCCGGCCTCTGACACTCCTATGGCTTTGAGATCCGCACTTAATGAGTGCACCAGTCTAACATGAAGGTGAGAGAGCATGTTAAAAAAAAAAATCCTGATCTAAAATAAAATGCCCCATCCAGTGAACATATAGCGGAGCATCTATTGTTAAGCTATGTAACAGCTAAGCTTATACCCACTTACATCCTCTTGCACAATATCCCACAAGACCAAGAGTTTCAAAGATCAATCTCACGTTCAGCCATATGTGAGCACCTGGAGAAAAAAAGTGAATATAATTTTTCTTGAATATTAAATTTTCTTTGAAATGCTACTAAGGAATTCATTGCACAAAAGAACCGGAGGTCAATTCTGCAATAATAATTTTTCTGTCCGGTAAATTGAGGTTTTTACTAATTTTTTTACAAACTTATTCTATCTTCCTCCTTGTCGTCTAGCTAACCTTTTTTGTAGGTTTTCACCTTCTCCACCCATTGGGATCAGGTGTCCCTGGTCTTCTGGTGAGCCCACAAGATGTAGCATCTCAAATTCTACAAGCTCCAGGGAAAGACTAGCAGTGGGGAACGGACAGCCTAGAACACATGGTTCTGAAGCCAGGAGACTTCTGTTCTGCTGTGGCACATGGAATCAGCCTCACTGCTTTAGAGCTACATCTGGGCTACTGAAGTCTCCCACTTCGAGTCAAACCACGTGGCATCTTAAGGCATCTCAAACCTTTATTATCCCATCAGATGGCCTCTTCCTCCCCTGAGTCAGGGCCCAGTGCACTGTCTTATATTTACTCTCCCACTCTTACAAAGCTATCTTCCTGGCTTATAAGCCTTGTTGTTGAAGCTGTGGACTGATGCGTCTTCCCTCCACCAGGAGCACGCCTCTCCTGCTCTCCCATGCTCATGCTCCTCTCTTCTCAGACATGCCTTCCCCACCACCAAATCTAAAAAAAGAAACTGCCACCTTCCGGCTTCCACAAATCTTCCCAGAGCACAGTCTGTCATGCCTGAATCTGTACAGGCACATCTACAAGAAATAATACACAAACACCTTCATTGGGTATGTACATTACTCATAAATTGGATCTTTGTGAGAGGAAAAAAATAGTCTTTTGCCATTTACTAAGCAGTGGGAAAATAATGACTTATACTTTTATAAAGATTAAAAAAAATAAATACTAACAAAAAACAGACACAGCTGGGAGGGAAGAGGATCATCCAACACAGTTCCACAGAACAATCTAGCAATGTGCATCAGTAACCTTCAAACTATTTATATTGTTTAGTCTAGCGATAAACCTGGAGAACATCATGCTGAGGGAAATAAGCCAGTCACAAAAGGACAGATATTGTGTGACTCCACTTATAGGAGGTACCTACAGGTTAGGTTCATAGAGAAAGAAAGTAGAATGGTGGCTGGGGGTACGGAGAGGGTGCCGGGAATAAGGAGTTATTAGTTACTCAATACAGTGTTTCAATGGGAAGATGAAAAAGTTCTGTAGGTGAGGGTGGCGGTGGTTGCATAGCAACGTGACTATACTTAATGCCACTTACTGTACACTTTAAAATGGTAAATTTTATGTTATGCATATTTTAGCACAATAAAAAATGCTTTCAAACATTTCACAACAGTATAGTGCTCAAGAGGGGAGAGATGGTATTAAATATTTTTTGGATGTTTCTATAAAAATCATTATAACCTCACATAAGAAATAAAGACCAGAAAGATATTCCAAAACACAACATAGTTTATAGACATTTCTAAGTGAGATTATGAGCGATTTTCTAGTCCATGCTTTTCTGCATTTTCTAAAAGGTCTAAGAAAACATAGTGTTTTTATAACTAGAAAACAATAAAATTTGAAATCCCACCTCCACATCTCTTTCCTTTTATCCAGCTTTGTTATTAAAATCATGGCACTCATTGCCACCTGAAAATATATTGTGTATGTATTTGTTTCCTTGCCAAAGTCTGTTTCCCCAGCAGAATATAAGCTCCATGGAGTCAGAGATTTCTGCATCCTATTTTTTGAAGTTTCAGGAACTTAATGAACAATCCATAAATATCTGTGTCCATAAACAGATGAATGAGCAAAAATCAGTCATCCTCAGGTAAGGACAATGGGCATTTCTTTGTTCTATGCCCTCATTTCAGACACCTGCGGTAGCCTCAGCCTCCCATTTTGAGGATATGGGAAGAAAGAATTTCTCAAGATTAAGGATCATCAGGTTGAAATAAAGCCTGAAATGTGTTCCTAGAGCTGACAGGGTAGAAAATAGCCTAGAAACCATGCCACGCAAAGAGTCATTGAAGAGACTGAGAATGTGAAGAAGAAACTAAAAGGGGGAAAGACATGTAGCTGGGAGATTGCCCAGTGAAACCATGCATTTATTCAATAAATATCTACTGAGCCTCTTTGATAAGCCACCAAGAGTTGAGGTAGCCACCAAGAGTAAACACACACACACACACACACACACACACACACAATTACATTTCTTGGGACTTCAGAGGGAACACTGAGGGTGGATGAGAAGTTTAGAAAGGCAGATTTGAACGCATCTTAAAGAGGAGAGCCCACAATAGCATTTTCTAAAGGGCATTTCATGGAACCCTAGAGATACATGGATGTTCTTTGACTTCATATGAAAAAAAAGGAATCTGGGGCTAAAGAAATTTATTCCTCTTTCCAATCTTGCTTTGAATCTGGGCCTAATGAACTTTACCTGATATTTCTACTTCTGACTTGCACTCTGAGTAACAGTGATTCTGGTTCATCATTCCACTGAGCTGCCCGGGGCCACCCTGAGTAAGGCCCATTTGGTTCAATTCCTCCATCAGCTCCTTGTCCATAGAGGTGGAGACGTAGACAAGAAGTAGGTGGATTCTCATGTCAAGGATGCCATCGATAGGGAGAGGCTGGGTTTTCTGATGTGGAAAGTTCTTCCCTGCTCAGCTACTTCTTCAGCAAGTCTGAGATTCTGTAATATCCCGCATTTTTAGGCATAATTTTCGTACCTGGAAAGCCAGTATTCTGCTGACTGCACCGTCTTGTCAATTCTTTCATAGAATACAGCTATGCCACCAAAAATTTGGGAAATCTTTCCCATTATGAGATAAACATCAGTTATCCAAAGTTCCTGGAGTTTATTCTACCTTCCAGTCATTTAAACAACAGCTCGAGGTGACTCTGAAGAAGTGCATGAAATTCCTTTGGGGAGAAATTATGACTTTAAACTGTAGCTCTCAGTGCCCCCCGATCTCCATTCTCTTACCTTGTAACTTGGGTTCTCATGCCAAAATCCAGCGACCTCATTGATTGCAGCACTTCAATGCAGCCCATGTACTGTAATGAGAAAAAAAAGGAGAGGTAGGAGAAAGGGAGCCTTAAAGATGTCTCTTAGCTTTATAGTGATTTCCTGGGAAACATCTTAAATGAGCTCCTGATATTGAGTTACATTTGCACACTCAGCCTACCATTGATATTTCTGACCATTAATGGACAAGCTTCAGTTCCGTTATAAAACATCAGCTAAATCCAAACTACATTGTCAGGAATGCAGATAATAAAGATGAATGTGAGTTTAGTGGTTAGGAGCAGAGTGTCGGGGGCCAGACTATAGGAATTTAAATTCTGACTCTGCCATTTATTAGGAACAGAACCTCAGCAAGTTACTCTACTTCTCTGTGTCTCAGTTTTGTCTTTGTAAAATGGGGATTCAATTACAATAGTTGTGAATTAAATTATTTCCCAAGGGGATTCCAAGAGTAGCTCCTAGCATATACTGTGATCAGATATTAGAGGAAGCAAAAAAAAAGTGTGAGACACATAATACAGGAACATGGAATGTATGAAGGGGATAAAACAAGCGTATAAATATGTCGAATACAAGATTTGGTGATATGAGATCTTCTATCTTGCAAGATGATATATTAAGAAAATTCCAAAAAGCACCTGCACCCCTATGTTTATAGCAGCACTGTTTACAATAGCTAAGCTTTGGAAACAACCCAAATGCCCAAAAATAGATGACTGGATCAAGAAGATGTGGTCCATATACACCATGGAATATTACTCAGCAATCAAAAAAGATAAACACATGCAATTTGCAGCAACATGGATGGCGCTGGAAGGGATCATGCTCAGCGAAATAAGCCAGAAAGAAAAAGAAAAATACCGGATGGTCTCACTCATAGCAGGAATCTAGAAAACTTAAATAAGGGACCAGGAAAATGAATAACTATAAGAAAGTGAAAATCAAAATCAACAAAAACTATGAACCAGAGACACTCTATGGGGGGTGGGGGGCGGGGAGGGGAGGGATTGGGGTCAAAATAAGGGGGTTGCAATTGTATGGGGAATATAAGAATAAAATTAAGAGAGAAAGAAAGAGAGAGAGAAGAGGAAGAAAGGAAGGAAAGGAAGGAAGGAAGGAAGGAAAGGAAGGAAGGAAGGAAGGAAGGAAGGAAGGAAGAAAGGAAGGAAGGAAGGAAAGAGAGAAAGAGAGAAGAGAGAGAGAGAGAAAGAAGAGAGAAAGAAAGAGAGAGAAGAAAGAAAGAGAGAGAGAAAGAAAGAGGAGAGAAAAGAAAGAGGAGAGAAAGAGAAAGAAGGAGAGAAGAAAGGAAAAAGAAAAGAAAGAGGAGAAAGAAGAAGAAAGAAAGAAAGGAAGAAAGAAAGAAAGAAGAAAAAAAGAAGAAAGAAAGGAAGGAAGGAAGAAAGAAGAAAGAAAGAAAGGAAAGAAAGAAAGAAAGAAAAAGAAAGAAAGAAGAAAGAAAGAAAGAAAGGACAAAGTCACGTCCCACACCAGGAACTAGTAAATTTAGCTTGAACACAGAGTATTGGGAAAGGAACTGTAACTTGTGAGCTGAAAGATGGTTTATATTTCAGGTGGCAGCAGCAGGAGCTGCTGGGGAGGGCGGAGATTCCCTCTGGGTTTGAGGAGCCTTAAGTCTGCAGCAGTGTGGAGGCGGGTGAGTAGTGAGGGAATAGTGAGGATGCCCCCGCGGAGAGGGAAGGAAAGACAGCCCACACCAAGAAGGGATGGTGGCAACAGAAAGGAGGGGACAGACTCAAATGACATTACAGAAATAGACACTACATGATTTGGCAGTTGATTTGATCTAGAGCATGGGAGAGAAGGGTGAGTCAAGGATGACTCAGATGTTTCCAGCCAGGGTAGCAGAGAGAACAACCTCTCCATTAACAGAAACAGGAAAGCGTGGACAGGGGAAGAATTTGAGTTGGTTTGGGATCCGTTGATGGGAGGATGTTGGTAGGGTATCCAGGAAACAAGCTGGCGGTTGAAAACTGGATTTGGGAATCGCAGAGAAGAATGAAGCCAAGAGATGTAGACTTAGTCTGTGTCGCTCTGCCAGGTGAGGCTGTGCAAGTAAATCCTCTCAGCAGAGTCTTCACTGGCGAGGGAGTGTTTCTCAGCGTGAGCTCAGAAATGTCCTGAGAGTCTAATTGAAAATGATCAGTCGGCTCCTTGGAATTGATATATGCCCTGTCCCGCTTTCCTTTGGAAGCCCTCCAACCTCTCTCCGCTTGGAATTGGCACAAACACTGTGGGGAGATTGCAGGAGCTGGGGGCGGACAGGGGGTGTCGGTAGAGAGGGGCCGCCTTCCAGACTCTTCTCGCAGTATTTCTGAACAAATACTATAGATTTACATCTAATGAGCAGGCAGGTCCAGCAAGTATAGCCTGAAGCCCAGTGCTGAGGGCATGTGCTGGCGAGGACAGTCACCTGGCAATGCCCCACCTGTTCCTGTGTCACACTCCTCTTGGGATCTCCAGCGCAGATAACATGAAAAATTTTGAATATTTTCTTTCGATCCAATGGTGCTTCATTTCCGAAGGCTTGAGTACTTCAAGGAAGGAAGTGATGCCTACAGGGTTCTGTTCAATAAGCCGCAAGATTCACTGGGAAAGGTTAGCCAGGTTTAGGGGGTATGACAGAAAGCCCACCTCAGAATCACCTTGAAAGGAGATCCCAAGGGCCCAAGCTCCCCGTCCTGGTGGACTGAAAAGATTTTCATTTTCTTTTCACACACTGGATGCTCCGGCTTTCCCTGCCTTTCAGGGTCTTTTCCATTCCAGAACTTAGCTCTTGCTCCCTTTTTGCTACACCCCAGCCCTGGAAAGAATGGACCCCCGCACAGTTTGAGGAGCAGGTCTGGGCTACCCCTCCAATGCCCCCCTGCATGTCTTGTAGGTTCAAAAGTGGGGTTCGTCTTTCTCTCAGGCTGTAAGTTATTAAGATGAAGTGATACCAACCAACCTATGAAGGCATACTTCTTGAAATTTGTGACCAGACACCGGAGTGATTTTTCAAAAATGTCTATCAGACCATGTACCTTCATTCCTTAAAAGCCCTGGCACTTACCGTCTAAACAAACATATCACTATGAACCCTTAGAGCCTGTGTGTTCTGGCTCTTGCTTGCTCCTCCAGCCATTCCTCCCCTGTGCACTTTGCTGCCACCTTGGCCTTCTTGCTGTTCCTCAAATATGCCCAACTCTTCCCAAACACAGGGCCTGGCCACTTGCTGCTCCCTCTTCCCCCATTACTCTGCAGGACTCACTCTGTCTCATCCTCAGTTTTAATTCCATTTTTGCCACTTCAAAAGCCCCCTCTTACCCTTTACCACAGCCCCTATTTATCACCTCCATGCCACTGATTGATGCTCAGGTTTATGTTAACTTGCTTGTTGATTGCCTGTTTCATTGCCTTGGCTGTTGGTACCATCAGAGTAAAGACCATGGTCACCACTGTATTCCCAACACTTGGGAGAGAGCCAGGGATACGGATGGAGGTACTGGCTGGAAGAACAAAGCTTCTTTTGTTTGGTGCCAATGGTGTCTTTAAAATGAATAGAGGGAGTGCGCAGAGACAGAGAGAGGTGAGCCAGTCTCTCCATTCCAGGGGATAAATATGGATTATAGGAAAACAGAAAGCCAGAACAGGACTCAGGAACCATAGGCCAGGACCACACCTTTGAAAGTTTTCTGAATTTCTTTGTCATTTCTTCCATATTGGTTATATCTGTTGTCCTCCATCTTGGAAAGTGACAACAAGCAACCTGACGGGGGTGTAGTTAAGTGGGAACTGGGGAGATGGTGCTCTACTCTGCAGGCCGTCTAGGGATAGAGGTGAGAGAGCCCTGAATATTAACGTAGGGAGAGTGTCTAAGTAGGGGCAACCCTCAGCCCAGTGAAATGAGTCATCAATGATGGAATTTGGGTTTCAATGAGAGGTTTTTAGTGGAAAGTGGGAGAGTTGGGGAAGAAGAGAGGGCTCCTCCAAGTTTTGCTTTTAATCACAGTTCATGGCCATAACCCCCTCAGCTGCTTCCATCTAAGGTAGACCTAGATGTGGCTTTCAGATCCTCTATATTGAAGCCTCTGCTTTGTTTCACACACCTGTCTGTCAGTGATGTCATGGCCTCCTCCTGCCAGCCTCACTGTGCTGAACTGAAAATTCTGAAGAAATGCACATCCTGGCCATCAGCACCAAGAGCACATTTCCCCTGCCACAACAGGCATATGTGAGGAAACCAATCCGAGCCCAGTGACAGAAAGCATCAATGCCTGATTTTTGTCACAATTATCCCAAAGCCCAGAATGGCATCAGTCTTCTTGTTGACTTACACAGTCCCTTTTACTAGGAAACCATTGCTATGAGGAAGCAGAAAGAGGGCAAAGCGTAAAAATAATCCATCTACTTTTTTGTTTAGGTACCTGATGATCATATCACCAAAGAGTGGTCTCAGGGAGGAGAAGTTTGGTTTGTTGATTTAGGTATAAACTCAGGATGACAATATCTCTCATTCATTTACTAAAGCAGATCTGCACAAGACATGGTCTCTGTTCTCAAGAAACCCAGCCCCACTGGATAGGACAACCATGAAAGGGATGATTTATCTTTTCTTTCTATGTGGTTAGTCATTGTTGTCAATTCCATTTAATAGATGAGGAAATTAAGGCTTATTAAAAGGAACTGTCTGGCTCAGTTTCACTTATTCAGTCAGACTGAATCAGGGTTTATTCTAGAGTCTGCACTTCATTTCTGCGACCCTGCGTGTAAGCTTTGTAGAACAGGAAAAGCAAAAATAGAATGGCTCATCTAGCTGGCGCCCACTGACCCTTCCTTCAGCCTAGCAGGTGGGGAACAATGAGAGAAGCTATGGGCCACAACAGTAATAGCAGGCGTGAATCCAAGCTGTCTGGGGACTGCAAGGAGGTGGCCCATGACAGAGAAGACACTCCCTAATTCCAGGCCCTGTGAGGACACTGGAGACTTTTATTAGAGACACACAGGGTGGTGAGAAAGTGGCGGAGCTCAG